CCGATAATGCAGTCGCCCCCAGGTGGCTGCCCTCCCAAAAAAAAAAAAAAGTATAAAAACGAGAAGAAGGAGAGCGAGAAAGCCAATCCCCTTTCGGCTTCTCACCTAGTCAGTCTCTACTCTGACACTTAGCCCCTGCCAGACACAGGCTCCTAGCCGGAAGCACTCTTGCCCTCCTCACCTTGCCCCAGGGCAACTGGCCGGCAACACATCTACCCCCATCCCAGGTTAGCTGGGGTTCCTCTCTGTGCTCCAGGTCTTCACAGCCTCATAATCCAGGTACACGGATCTCTCGCTCCGGTCCTCACTACAACCCTTATTCCCAGCCAAAGTGGCCCTCGGCCAGCTGGGCTCTTGAGCAAGGCCGACCGCCTCGCCGTTGGGCGGAACCGAACCTGGCCCCCACCAGGACAGGCCACAGTTTCGGGAACTCTCTACGTCCATGCAATTTGGTTCTCCGGGGCCACCCTGATCCTAGCGGAGGGGCCCCTCCTCCTCTCCTGGGTCATGGAGGTAGTCCATTGCCGGGTCCCCTCGGCCCTTGGATTTTAGGGCCCCTTCACGCCTCCCCTCCATCACTCTGACCTAGAGTTCTCTCAGGGGGGTCCTCAACAAGGGTCTATCTCATAATACCCTAGGGCACCATATCGCTATCCTCGCAACGGTGGCTCTCCGGTCATTGAGGGTGCCTCCCCTCAACCCCGGTTAGGTCTTCCCCAGGGGAGCTCCCCATCCTCGCCCCTGCCCAGGCTCCTTCGACCCGGGTCCCTAACAAGGTTCTGGCCGCTCTACCTAGTCTCCACCCGGAACCCTCCATGAGGTTCCCCCACAGGGCCTCTCTCTCTCTCCGACCGGGCCTTCCTTGTGGCCCCTCATCCGCTGGAACTCGGACATGGCAGTCCCTCTTAGTCAGGCTCTTGCGGCTCTCATCCTGAGTCCTACCAAGCCTAGGCCCCCTCCATGGGCACCATAGTCTCATCGCTAGAAGTGCGGTCTCCTTGCCCCACGGCCCCAGTGGGCCTCTATCGGCGTCACCTGCAGGGCTGTCATCTAGACAGCCCCATCTCCTTCATTAGGCCTTCTCGTTGAGGCATTACAACCTCTGAGGGGTCCTCCTGCCGGGTGGGCCCTCCAACGGGTCATCGGGGTCCCAAGAGAGGTTCCATCCCAGACGGGAGCCCGTCCGCAGGACTAGCCAAGCTTTGGTATGTCCCAACCTGGACACTTGAGACAGCTCTATGGAAAAGGGGCGTTGGTTCTTACCTGATACGCTTCTTTTCGTAGAGCTGTAGAGAGTGTCCAGCCCCACCCATAGGCCGTCTGGTGGGGAACCTTGCTGTTCGACCGAGCAAACTAATATTTTTTTTGTTTGAGTATGATGAGAACAGGACCTTCCTTCTCGTCTTCGCAAAACTGGGGAGCACCCAGAGGACCACGTGATGGTGAGGGGGCGTTCCTCAATCTCAAGCTCAGCCTGTGAGAGCCGAGACTGGAGCTCCTCCCAACCTGGACACTCTCTACAGCTCTACAAAAAGAAGCGTATCAGGTAAGAACCAACGCCCCTTCTGATTTTGCTATCTTTCCTTATTCCTTTTCACTGTATATGCTATTACCAGGCCCCTCAAGACTGCCTTTGCTGTATCCCATAAATTCTGTAATGATGTTTGCTCCACTGTATTTTCCTTAAAAAAAAGTTCCATTTCTTTCTTAATTTTCTCTACAAAATCTTTCTCCTTTAAAATTTGGGGATTAAGTATCCACCTTCTACTCTTCCTTTCCAAGTTATTTTTAATGGGTTATGATCAGCCCATACATTTGTCATAATCTCTAGCAAATCTAGTTGGTTTCCTAGTTCTGCGTTCATCCATGCCATGTCTAATCTAGACCACGATTTGTGTGGGTTAGAGTAGAACGTGAATTCTTTTTTCCCAAAATTTATTCTCCTCCATTGATCTATCAAATTTAGTTCCTGTGTCATATTGAAAAAGGATCTGGGCAAAATTTTCCTTTTCTTTTTGTTCTTTGCATTACTAAAATAATCCTTCCTTATAACTACTACCTCATTAAGATCTCCCACAATGCATACATTATCTTGTCCCATCTCAACGATTCTCTCATGTAAATCCTTATAGAATTGACTTTGGTTGTCATTCGGCGCATAAACTGTAACTAATAACATTGGCTTGTACCCTAATTCTAGTTCAAGTATCAAAATTCTCCCTTGTGGGTTTACATATTTTTCTATTGCCTTAATTTCTTTTTTAACATATACCGCTATCCCTTTCTGTTTTTGATCTGCCAGGGCTACAAATAACCTTTCTAATTTACGATATTCTAAACATTTCCAGAATTGTTTTTTAATATGAACTTCTTGCAGGCATACTATTTCTAATTTCTGTTTGGCTAAACTAGATAGTATCTGTTTCCTTTTAATGGGTGAGTTTAGACCATTTATGTTTAATGATAACAGCTTCGTTTCCATTTCCATCTTTCTACTTGTGGGATATTATCTGTCTTCTGTTAATTCTAGTCTCTCTTTGTGGGCGTGTTCTTAATCTTCTTCCTTCTGTCTCCTCCTTGTTCTCTCCTTCTTGTTCTAGGCTTCCTATATCTTGCTGGTGTTGTTCTTCTTGGCTTTCTGTCTCTAGCTCCTCTCTACCTGATGGATAAGTGGCCAGAGCTGATTCTCCAGCACCTCACTCTTGCTGCTTGTTGGTGCTGGGCGTACCTTCCAAACCTTGTTGGTGCTGCGTGTGCCTCACAACAGATGACGGCCTTGCTAATACGAGGGCTGGCAGGGTGGGAATGGGATCTGGGAGGAAGCAACTTTGGAAATTGTGATGGGCTTGCAGTGCCCAGCCATGGCTTTAAGAAGCTCAGGGCAGCAGGAAAAGGAGGCTGGCCCCACCAAACCTTGCATGCCCACCACAGGGGTCAGGCTCGGAGAAAGCTGGAGCACCCTCACCAAAGACGCTTGCCTGTCAGCCAGTCTCTCCCCTCTCTCTATGACTTTGTGTGTGTGTGTGTGTGTGTGTGCGTGCATGTCAGCAAGCTCTCTTTGGGGCTCTTGGCTATTCCTTTTATGTTTTCTTTCTGGAAATCTGGGCTGCCTGAGGAACGATCACCAGGTGTGGCAGAGGCTTCTCTTCAAGCGACCCTCCTCCTTCCCGTCCTCCTCTCGCAACCCCCTGGCCAGTTGTGGCAGGGCTGGGAGGGTGCGCACATGTGGGGAGAACCCCCTTAAATGAGCAGCCGCCTGCCCCGCGTGCCCCTTGGCTGAGCCAAAGAGGGAAGCCCCTCCTGTGGCTGGCAATTGTTCCTCAGCCAACCTGGATTTCAAAAAAGAAGAAATAAAAGGAATAGCCAAGAGGAGGGTCACTGGAGCCTTAGTGCAGGAGAGAAGCCACATCCTGTTAAGACCCTCAAGCAAGTGGCCGGCTGCCCTCTGTGTGCCTTTGCTGTGCTTTGGCACATGCTTGAGGAGGGTCTCCCCATGCGTGCACACCCTCCCAGCCCCACCACAGTGAGAGGGCAAGGAGGGTTGCCTGAAGGGAAGCCTCTGACACGGCTGGCGATCAGATTTCCAGAAAGTAGAAATAAAAGGAGGAGGAGGGGGAGGGAGGGAGAGACACACACACAGAGCGATACACAAACAAACACAGAGTGATACAGAGAAGGGAAGATAGGAAGAGGAACAGAGAGACACAGAGAGATAGAGGGGGGAGAGAGGGGAAGATCAGGAGAGGGGGAGAGAGAGGGGGGGAGAGAGGGGGGATACAGAGAGGGGGGAGGGGGCAGAGAGGTAGATACAGAGAGTGGGAGATAGAGACATAGAGTGAGAGAGAAGGGTTTTGTGGCTGGGTAGGTTAGGTGTGTCTCCTGACAGAGCTTACCTAAGAGGGTCTTTAGTTCTCTATTTTGGCATTCTACCCTTCCAGATGAATGGGTGTACCAGTGTATGAAGGTCCTGGTGTCAACTAAAAAGATACTCCTTTGGTCTTTTTAGCTGCCAGAAAAAGGGAGTGGGGGAAAACAAGGCATTCCTTAAATGCCTAGATAATCACCCTGGCAGCCCAAAGTTGTCAGAGCATAAGAAGATTATTGGAGAGCATGATGGATGACTCTTGGAGATGGATGTGTCCCATTGGAGAAGTCACATCCAGGGGGTGGGGGGAAGACCAGGGTCAAGGGTGAAATTTAAAAACAAAACCAGAAAGCCCAGGCCCGGCATGGCTATCCGCCAAAAAAAATCACTCTTTGAAAATTTGTCACAAAGTAAATCACTGCCACCCTAAAATGTCCAAGGCACCAGCAAGATATAATCCAAGGTCACCATAAACTCTTTTTTTTTTCAACTTCAGTCTCCAGCCATTCAAATTATTTTACAAGAGCAACACCTGTGTAAACATTTCTTCAGTGCTCAGCTCTCTATCTCCACCAGATGTAAACAGTCTGGCTGAAAAAATTGCTTTCTCACAGCTAGTAATAAAAAATATTTTTTGAACCTCTAGATGGCAGTGTTACTTTATTTTGTTTAACTTTCATTCCTTCTCAACAATGTAACCAGGGTGAAAGAAAGTTTCTAAAAAATTTCTAATATATAAAATTCCCGACATTGCCAGGGCATGTGAATTCCTGAATGTGGGTGAGGCAATGAGGGATCGTGTAGTCCTGGGACTTAGAGACCTGATATTACAGAGCCGGCTTCTAACAAAACCAAAAGTAACAATAAAGGAGGCCATCAAGGAAGCAGCCATGGTAGAAGCGTTGCAGAAGTCCGCCGCAGCTATGAGGAAAATGAATAAGAATCCACAAACCCCGCAAAAGGACACCACCGCCATTCACCATGAGGACCTCAAATCCGGTTCGGGGTCAGCAGAAGTGAATCAACTTCACCCTGCACGGCACCAGAAAAGCTGAGAGAGAAAGTGGAAGGAATTTTGGTGTATGGGATGTGACGGAAGTCACCCTAGATTGGAATGCCGGTTCTGAGATGCTATTTGCCAATGCTGTGAGCGGAGGGGGAACATCTCAAGAGCATGCCCAGCATTCAAGCTAAACAACCGAAGACCAAGACAAGGTACACTCCCAAGAACTCAGGAAAATCAAACTGAAAACCGTGGGGGTCAAAATAGCAGAAATCGATGGAACCACGAGCCGAGCACAAAGAGAAGTGAAATGCACCAGACGGTAACCATGGGCCACTCAAGCATACCAAATGCCAAGAAAGTACATGTTCATGTCACAATAGAAGGTGAACCATGTAAAATGGAAGTGGATTCCGGATCTCTTCTATCAATGGTGTCGTGGGACACCATCAAAAGAATAATTCCCCAACTGACAAAAATACAACTGAAGGAACAAAATATAATCCTAAAAGACTATCAAGGGAACAAGATTTCAGTCATTGGCATTGGAGAATTCAAAGTATCCTTCCAGAATTACTCTGGGATCCTGCCTTTAACCATGGTTGACAGGGACTGGCCAAGTCTGCTGGGGCTCGAGTGGTTCAAGCCATTGGGAATTGAATTCACTGGCATCCACAGCATCACTGACAGTGAGCGGGAGGAATTCCAGGATGTTTTTGATGGAAAACTAGGCAAGTACTTGGGGTCCCCTATTTCTTTTAATCTAGACCCAAATATTGCCCCTATCAAACTAAAAGCAAGGTGAGTTCCATTCGCACTTAAACCAAAAATAGACAAGCAGTTAGACAAGTTCATTTCCAAAGGGATTCTAGAACCCATAGATCGTGCAAAGTGGGAAACCCCAATGGTCACCCCTATAAAGCCAGATGGATGTCTGCGCATTTGTGCTAACTACTGCGCAACCCTTAACCGTGCTTTACAGCAGAGTGCGTACCCCGTCCCAGTGGTGCAACACCTTTTGCACTCCTTGGGGCGGGGAAAGATATTCGCAGTTAGATCTTGCACAAGCCTACCAGCAATTACCGGTAGACGCTGAAACGGCGGAAGCACAGACAATTGTGACACACAGAGGGGCTTTTAAATGTAACCATTTGCAATTTGGGGTGAGTGTTGCCCCGGGACTATTCCAGAGCCTCATGGAATGCTTATTACATGGACTAAAGGGGGTGGTGCCTTATTTTGATGATGTCCTCATCTCAGCCGAGAACAAAGAGCAATTACAAGATCGTTTAAGGGAAGTTCTCAACCGTTTCAAGAAGGTGGGGCTTAAAGTAAAAAAAGAAAAATGCCAGGTACCAGCCGATAGGGTGGAATTCCTGGGGTTTTCAATTTACAAAGACAGCATCCACCCCACAGACAGTAAAACCAAAGCAATCAAGGATGCCCCCAGATGAAACGGTAAAACTGAATTACAAGCTTTCCTGGGGCTAATTAACTTTTACTATATATTCTTACTGCAGAAGGCAACTGTGGCGGAACCGGTCCACAGACTGATTGACAAGAAAGCAGCCTGGGTTTGGGGACATAGAGAAGAGGCAGTGTTCAAAGAAATAAAGAACTTAATTACATCAGAACGCGTACTAATTCAATATAATGAGACTTTACCGATAATAGTAACTTGCGATGCATCACCATTTGGGGTGGGTGCGATACTCAGCCACCTTTTGCCAAACGGAAAGGAAGACCCAATAGCATTTTATTCAAAGACATTATCCAAACCTGAATGGAATTATAGCCAACTAGACAAAGAAGCGTTAGCTGCGGTCACTGGAATCAAGTGATTCCACGAATACATATATGGACAGAAGTTCATATTGGTCACAGACCACAAACCCCTTTTGGGCATCATCGTGGAGAATAGAGCCACCCCAAACATCGTGTCCCCCAGAATGACCCGTTGTATAGAATTCTTACCTGCATACGATTACAACTTGATCTATAGACCAGGAAAAGAGATTGATCATGCAGATGCATTAAGCAGATGTCCCCTGCCCATCGAGGACGAGGATCCAGCACCAGCCACCACTACACTCCTGATAGAGACAGTTCAACGAACGCCAGTCATGGCAGCCGATATTGCGAGAGCAACAGCGAAAGACAGAACTCTGGCGCACGTTTTGAGGGTAGGGAGGGGGTGGCCTGAACAGGAACAAACCGAAGAAACTAAACCTTTCAAAAACAGACAAACTGAATTATCCATACTGAAAGGTTGTGTATTGTGAGGTGATTGAGTTATAATTCCAGCCATTTTAAGGGATGATATAATGGAGATGTTGCATGCAGGGCATCCGGGGATAGTTAACATGAAATCATTAGCAAGGAGCTATGTGTGGTGGCCAGGGATGGATAAAGAAATAAAGGCCTGGGTCTCTGCCTGCCAGGTTTGTCAAGAGAACTGACCAGCACCACCCATAGCACCCAAACATCAGTGAGAATCACCCAGGGGACCCTGGTCTAGAATACATATAGATTTTGCAGGACCAGTAAGGGGACACACGTTTCTTATCGTTGTGGATGCATATTCTAAATGGCTGGAAGTCAGCATCATGCAGTCCACAATGACAGAGGCAGTAGTAAGAACCCTAAAGAATCTATTTGCTACACACGGCCTTCCAGATGTAATTGTATCCAACAGTGGACCTCAATTCACAGCCACACAGTTTGAGGGATTCCTAGCACAAAATGGGGTACAACATGCTCTCTCGGCACCTGGACAAGCGTCCATGAATGGATTGTCTGAACGCATGGTCCAGCACACAAAAGAAACACTTCAGAAACTAGGGCCAGGGGATGTGCAAGCAAAAGTAGATAAGTTATTAAGTATACAGCACATAACACCTAGCGCATCAACAAAAGCCACACGGAACTTCTTATGGGAAGGAAACAGATCACAATTAGACAGAGTACACCCCAATTACACACCAGAAAGACCACTAGATTCATGCAGCAAATGCCAGAATTTCAAAACGGGTGACTCAGTATACGCTAAAAATCTAACAGGGGAATCATTATGGGTACCGGCATCGGTGGTACAAGTAACAGGGCCTCGTTCATACAGAGTCAAGACAATCGAAGGCAGAAGCTGGAGAACTATGGAGCCGGGGGACAAAGGGAACAAATAGGGAGGAAGGGGGAGACCCTTCACACATATACATTACAAACAGAAGAAGAAGGGGGAGACCCTTCACACGCAGCCAACAACAGGGAGGAAGGGGAAGACCCCAACCACCCAGACCACATAAGGAATAACATAGAACAGGCCCTAAAGACTACACAACCTCAACAATTAAGAATAGTTCTGGAAGAACCAAATGGAAGTAGCAGACACTCATCAGACACACATAGGCAGTGACAAACCAAGGAAGGAAGCAAAAGGGCGGCATCTAGTGGAAGTGGAATGGCCACCATAACGAGAAAATTCCAGGAGGTTCCACGGAGGGGAGCAGGAGAGACGATAATTCCAACTGAGCATCTTGGAGACCAACCCATTTTTGAGCTGTGCAGGTCTAGTTGCACCCATAAGAGTCCCGCCTACTTATGTGATTACATACAGTAGGCGGAACAGGATTGGGTGAGCTGAACCAGGTAGGGAGGGGTGTTAGATATTTACATATATGCTCTGATTGGTTGGCCCGTGGGGGCGGGAAATTGAAGAGCTGTCACTGGTTGCAGCCACAGCAGCCTGGGGGTAAAAAAGGAGCTGCCATGGCTGCTATTCTTTGTTCTGAACGATGTAATAAAGAAACTTAAATGGTCAGAGCCTCCCACATCTTCTCTCACCCACGATCTAACAAATAGAGTTGAGGGAGTTCTTTCTTGGGTTTTGAATGAGGCACATCTGACACATCTGACATTTGCTGGCAAACACAAAGTGAGCCTTCACCCCAAAGCATACTCCCCCTTCTGAATTTGGATTATTACACAACCATATGAAATAGTATAAAATCGCACTGCTAAGCACAGTAACACCTGGACCATAGCAAAACTTTGTGAAAATAAATTGATAAGTTACCGTACCCCATATATAGATTATGTTGAACAAATGTAATGGCTTTGGGTTGATTTAAAGCCAAAATATGAAAATAAGAAAAACAAGAAAACTTCATCAAAAACTTGAATTGTTATGTTGTCTTCCTAAAGCCCCCTGCTTCCTTCTTTGCTCCAATTACAATTTCTGTACTAATACACTTTACATCCAGTTTTAGAACCAATTCTGAGAAAATAAGCTTGAAAGAGGGTCAAAAATCCTTCCACCCACTTGGACCTTTTCCTCATATCAGTATATCTCTTTGCAAAACAGGTTGTGCTTTAAAACACATATCTGTCTCTAGCACATTTAGTTGGACAACAAGCAGACTCCTTGGAAAGAAATCAAGAAAAGGAGGAAGGAAAACCAAGAGACCCCCCCCCCAAAAAAAGTAATGGGGTGGGGTAGGGAAGGAAGCTTAAGTATCAGTGTAGAAGTCCCTTTTTTCCAGTGATAACAGTTTTTGGATAAATCAGATCAATAATAATGTCTGTCCATGTATCTCTCCTGCTCAGCTTTTCCTCATTATCTGACTATTCCAGGATATAAATAAAGACAGATGAGGACAGTTTTATGATTGGAAGAACTTTGTGTCTATTTTTAGGGTCCCATACTATAAAGAGAATGGAGGATAATTCTTGTGATTGAGAGAACTTTGTGTCTATTTTTTGATGTTGCATATTCAGGCAAAGCAGAGCTGAGGAAAACTTGTTGAGATCATTGCAAACAACTTCTCATAAATTATGGTCCATGAAGGTTAGTGATCCTTAAATGCCTTTCTATATTTTTATGCATAAAGCATGTTTCTATTAGAGTCTTCCTTCATAGATATGCTGCTCAGGATAATCTGTAATATGTTTTTTTTTAAAGGAGACCAAAGCACAGATCCCTAAAAAGGATCTTAATTTGCCCATTTTTGACAGGGTTTTTCAAATTTACAATCCTAAAATGTGTGGATTTCCAGAATTGCCCAGACAGCATTCTGGAAGTTGAAGTCTACACATCTTAAAAGTTGCCAAATTTGAAAAACACTGATCTATCAGAATATCTAGCTCAGGGGTATCCAACCTTGGCAACTTTAAGACTTGTAGACTTCAAAACGGGCTGAAAAACGAGCGAGGGCAGGGCCAGCCAGTGGTGGGATTAGCCCAAACTAGTCCAAACCAGCTGAATCCCACCTCTGCCTTTGAGGTGGGGCTGAGTGTGTTGAGTGACGTCGAGTTGGCCATGCCCACCCAGTCACATGCCCACCTGGCCACGCCTACCCAGCCAGTCATTAGGGCAGAGAACCAGTTGTTAAATTATTTGAATCCCACCACTGCGTGATGACCTGAGACACAAAGTGTGTCCCTCAGTCCATGTTCAGCACACTTGGGACTCCAAATCTGGGCATGAGATCCTTTAACAAATGTGCGCTTTCTAGGGCCATGGTATGGCGACATGGGAAGGCTTCTACCCAGTGAGAGAGTTGGTCCCTGCATACCAACACATACTGGAAGACATTGGCTCGGGGAAGTTAGATGCAGTCCAGTTGGAGTTTCTCAAAGGGGCGCTGTGCCCATGGTCTCCCTCCTGGGTGAGTGGCTTTCTTGGAGGATGCATTATTTGCTTGGCATGTCTGACATTTCTTGGCTATGTGAGTTGCCTTGCTGTATACCCCTGCTGCGTACCAGACCCTTCTTATGGTGTCCACCATTGCTTGGGTTCCACAATGGCCCTTTGGGTGTAATTGTTGGCAAATTAATTGCAACAAATGTCTGGGGGCTATTGGTTTGCCATCTGGGACACATCAGAACCGGTCTTCATAATTTGCTTCATATTTTTCCTCCCAAGCCTTCACCTCCCATTGTTTTAATAAATTTTGGTACTGGACCTTTGGTTTTAACAGTAGGGCTGGGAGGGTGACAGATGCTGGCATGGGCTGGGTGGCAGCCCATTTAGCAATAGCATCTACAAACTGATTTCCTTTTGTGACTCTAAAGTCATCCTTCTGGTGAACCTTACAATGGATGACTGCCAGGCTGTGATGGGATTCAATTTTTTTTACTACCGGTTCTGTGGGCATGGCTTAATTTGTGGGTGTGGCTTGGTGGCCATGTGAATGGGTGGGCATGGCTTGGTCACATGACCAGATGGATGTGGCTTTGTGGTCACATGACCGGATGGGCGTGGCTTTGTGGCCTTCTGAATGGGTGGGCGTGGCCAGGTGACCATGTGACTGGCAAACCAAATTCAAGTGGTCCTCGGTTAATGGCTGGTTGCTTAACAAGTGTTCTAATTTATGACTGATCTCTCCAGAGCTACTTGACCTGTTTTGGGAGTTTTGACAGCCACACACACACACACACACATACTTCTAACCCTGCTATTCTGATTCTGTAAGGATCTGCTGGAGGAGGGGGTTGGACTAGATGACCTCCAAGATCCCTTACAGGCTAGACCTAGATTGCTGTGCTGCTTCAAAGAGTCTTCTGAAGCCAGGATTTTGTGTCCTTCCTTCCTCTCCTTTTTTTTCTCTCTCCCTCCCTCCTTCCATGTATTTATCTATCCATCCAGTGGTGGGATTCAAAGTTTTTAACAACGGGTTCTGTGGGTATGGCTTGGTGGGTGTGGCAGGGGAAGGATACTGTAAAATCTCCAGTCAGAGGAGGTATTTGCTGGTTCTTCAAACTACTCAAAATTTCCACTACCAGTTGTTCTCCAGAATTGGTCAGAAGCTGCTGAATCTGTATCCATCCATATATCTCATTCACTTTCTCCTCCCTCCCTCCCTCCCTCCCTCCCTCCCTCCCTCCCTCTTTCTTTCTTTCTTTCTTTTTCTTTCTTTGTTCCTTCCTTCCATCTCTCCCTTTCTTTGTCTATCCCTTTTCTTCCGGTTGCTTCCTTTCTCTTTTTTCTTCCTTTCTCTTTTTCTTATCTTCTAAGAATCTCTCTCCCTTCCTCTCTCATTCCCTCTTTTTCTCTCTTTTTTCTCTTCCCCCCCCTCTCTCTGTGTCCCCCCTCTGTCTTCCCCCCATCTGTATCTCTGTCTCTGTCTCTCTCTCTCTCTGCCCTTTCCCTATCTTCCCCTCTCTCCCCCCCACTCTCTGTCTCTCTCAAAGCCGTGGCTGGGCCAAGCACTCTTCTCTACTTTCATTTCTTCTTTTGGGAATCAAGACTGGCTGAACAAGGATTGCCAGCCATGCTGGAAGCGTCCCTTCGGGCGACCCTTCTCCCCCTCACGTGTGCACGCCATCCTCCCGGACCCGCCATGGCCACTGGTCGCAAGAGGAGAAGGAGGGGGAGAAGGGTCGCCTGAAGAGACGCTTCCAGCATGGCTGGTGATCCTTGTTCAGCCAGTCTGGATTCCATAAAGAAGAAATGGAAGTAGCGAAGAGCACCAAGAAAAGCCCAGCCGCGGCTTAGAAGAGAAAGGAAGCAACCAGAAGAAAAGGGATAGACAAAGAAAGGGAGAGATGGAAGGAAGGAACAAAGAAAGAAAAAGAAAGAAAGAAAGAAAGA